TGGGTGTGTGGAATTGACTCAGTTCAGTCATCTTTATTTGCCTTTCTTAGCAAGTAGGAAGCAGGTATTAATGAAATGAGAAAAGATGGTAAATATTAGTGGTAAAAGAGGTGATGTCCTGAGAAGCATTCTGTCTGCACAGAAATGGAGTAGTAGAAGACAGGTTCGTTAGTGAAAACATTAGGGATTTTCTTCTTATTTTGCTAGGCCTGTGTAGCATTCACAAAGTTAGTTCTCTGAAGGAAATTTGGCTGAGACTCTGACTGTATTCAAATCCATAGTTAAAAGACTCTTCTCCAAATTTTGTTTTCATCTCTGAGAAAACAGCTGTAGTTTATTATATTATGGGCTGCAGTCAGTATTCCTCCAGGATTTTTTTGTACTCTTAAAAAGTTTTAATTCAGTAAAGTCCTGTTGACTGCACTTAACAGCAGTCCTGCAGACTTTTGAGGGACAGAGTTTTTGGTAATGGCTTTTCAGCTTGGAGCATACATACCATGAACAAGAAGCATTCAGGACTCCAGGTTTGAAGAAATTACTGCATTTCTCAGCCCTGCTTGTGACTGAGCTACAAGGCAGGTTTGCTGTTAAGCATGGGCTCTCCAGGTTGGTTAGTGCTGGGGTGGTAAACTTTAAAGATTTCCTTTGTGGCAGCAGCTACACTGGCATTTTCAGATCTGGCCTCTTAATTCAGTGATGGGTGATTTTTAACTACCAAAGGCATTGTGATCATTAGAGAAAATGGTAACTGGCGCATACCAGTGTACAACCAGAAAAATACATCGTTTGGTCACGCTGGTTATGCAGAACAGGAAACTGGTGATGAGCAGAGAAGGAACTGCTGGTGTTTAGTCTGAAACGGCTGCAGGGCTCAGCGGGATGAAAGCGCAGTTTATCCAGGTCTGTCCAAGATAAAGCAGTGCTTCATACTTAATGTAGTCCGGCCAGTCAGCCAGGAAACTGCATAAAATTTGTCATTGGTTCTTAAATGTGAGCAGTGGTGAAATCCATCCACAGAGAACGGATATCACTCACCAGTGGGTTTTGCTGCCCCAAAGAATAATGACATTTAGTTCAGTCATGCCCATGCTCTTGTGTCATCGTTAGAAAAATGCTGGAGGAAGGACTTTCTTTTGTGAAATGTTCCGCATTCACAGACATAAAGTTTGGACAGTTGGATGATGGGTTTTGCGTTTTGTGTGTAGTAACTGCTTACTGGCTACCATAGAGCTTTTCTTTCTCAGTGAGGACGCTTGCATCTGCCTGAATTTCTTTAAACAAACAGTTAAGGAATCCTAGCGTACTGCAAGACAGGCCAGTCCAACTGAAGACTGTGCCAACAAGTCTTCACAGCTCTTCTTGGTAATCTCTTAGTGCAGAGGGAAAAGAGGACTGCTCTCTATTTTATTACTTATAAGAAATTTTGAGATTAGATTAAATCTATGGACAAAGCAGTGCCATACGTAAAATGCACAACTTTCAGCCCCCTTCTGGAAGGTGACGGTACCTTTACCAGCTATTTTCGTCAAGGTGCCAGGTTGAATTAAGGACTTCACAATGCAGGACAAATAAATGGATAATATATATCAGATCTGGAAGGCTGTATTCATTTTCTGGATAAACTGGTTGTGTTTAAGCAAAAACTGTTTTGCATAGTTCTTCCCATTCTTCTGAGTAAAATTTTAGAGAAAACAGAAGGCAAATTTTGATTCCTGTGAGCTGTCCTGATGTTTAGCTCCTTCTTATGTACATTGTAGATGGGAGATCTGTTTTTAACTCACTCTGGTATTTTTTAGCAGGGCCCATAAGAGAGTGGTGTAGCCACTAGTATATTAGTTATTTTTATTAAATCTTTCAGCTTTGCACAAAGGCACATTGTGTGTGCAGGAACTCTAATATGACTTCTAATTTCCTTAATGAAGCCCTTCACTGCTTAGGTAAGACTGTTCCTCACAGGAGAGAAAAACGATAAATATGAGAGATGATCAGATCGGGAAAATGCCTGGTCTGAGCTTCGCACATCCAACCTGAGACACAGCAGGGAGTTCGGGCAGTTAAACAGCAGGATGGGGAGTTGGGGCTTTTGCTCCTGCATTACTAGAAATGTGCTTCCCTTCTGCAGCAGTCGATCACCTGACAGAGGATCCTAGTATTCCCTGTGGGTATTTGGGTCCATTTGTTTGGAGCTGACCCCAGAATCCCTTCATTATGGAAGCAGTTCACTGAACTGGCAGAATGACTTTTCTGCTATATCCTAATGTGGCCAAATGAGCAGATGCAGTGTGAGATATTTTTTTCCTAAGGCAAAAAAATCAGTGTAGAAAAGATCCAGAGGAAAATAGGCAAAAATATTTATTATGAATGACTAAATAAAGCTGAATGAGGGCTAGCTAAACACAAACTCAAGAGTGGATGCAAACATTCCAAAGTATTTGAAAAGTGCAAATATAAACAGTAGGTAGACATGCTCAAATGTTTTGCAAGCTCTGTATAGCTAGGAACAATGTGTGAAAACAAAGGATGTAGAAGGAATACAGATCAGTTCTTCCAAAAGGTGTAGAGATTAAAATTAGGAACTAGGCCATTATCATATGAAATAAGCCTTTTGCAAGAAAAAAAACCAGGATACCTCAAAGTTTATATAAAACACTCCACAGTATACACTCAGGAACAGTCAGTAAAGGAAGGTAGGATGAATGAGGAAGAGTCTTCTCCTAATCCTGGTACTTAAGAGTGCGTAGTGATCGTGATGATGTCATGTGTTGCGTTTGGTGTTAAGTGATGATATGTTAAAGTTCTGTCCTTCTGTTTTTATTCCTAGGCCTCTTCCTTATCTTAGGCTTGATACTTTACCCTGCAGGTTGGGGATGCCAGAAAGCAATAAGCTATTGTGGACCTTATGCTTCTGCATACAAACTAGGAGACTGCTCCTTGGGCTGGGCTTTCTACACAGCGATTGGTGGCACTGTTCTGACGTTCATCTGTGCAGTCTTCTCGGCGCAAGCTGAAATAGCCACATCCAGTGACAAAGTGCAAGAAGAAATAGAAGAAGGAAAAAACCTTATTTGCCTCCTTTAACTCCAGTGGGGAAAAATACCAGCACCTGGATCTTAATCTGCTTTCCGTTGACTGGACAAGCAGACCCATGTACCAGTTTGTACCATTTGTGTGATTGAGCCCCATGCATTCCAGCCCCGAACTACTGAAATGGTCTTTCTTCCTTGCTGGGCAATGAGGATCAGAGAAAGGATCCCATGAAAGCAGAATGTAAATACTTGGGGATTTTTTAAATAGTTTCATTCTATGATCAGGACACAGTGGGGATTTTTTTGTTTTAGTTTCATTCTATGATCAGGACGCAGTGGGGATCTTTTTTAGTTTCATTCTATGATCAGGACGCAGTGGAATATATTAATCTGACTGAGGAGGTGAGAAATCATGTGTATATAGCAGAAATGTTGTTGTAACTGACAAATTCTGATTGATGGGATGGCTTTACCCATCTTGGTCACTTTGAAGAATTTGGATTTAAAATAGCAAAAGCCAGCACATTTTTTTCTTATACAAGAGAGAAGCCTATTTTAATTAGGCTTTGTTTCCAAGGGCTCCCCCTCACCTATGAATATTTTACCGCCACCTGGTTTGGTACCACACTTTTTCATTGAGGTGCTTTTTTGATACTGAACTTCCTTAAGCACAGTGCCTACTCAGATAGTAAGTTAAGTGTATGTTGAAGCGAGCAAAGTTGACGTGATGAAGTTTACATCAATCTTTAAGCATTCGAAAAGTCTAGTCCCTGCCAGGTTTGCCTCTAAAGTTACACTGTCAGGTGTGTGCCACTTGTTACTTCGCAGATAAATGATTTTGTTTCCATTGACTGGACAGAGAAGCTGTTGTTACACTGGCTTTCACCTGATTCTGATAAAAGTGTTTGAACTAACAATGGTTGGAAATATTTCTACAGCCTTTATTACAACTCCTGAAATCCCCAGCAGATGACACCTCCCCGCAGCACAACTGGGCTTTCTCTTGTGAATGCCAGCAGCCTGGCCTGGGTCACAGCCTTGTCAGAAATGTCGGTCACACGTTGGACTTCAACGTTGAATTCTTTCTCTTGCCAGTGAACCCTCATTCCCAGTCTGCAGCTCAGTCTCATGACACAGAGCTGTATGAGTCCTGAAGAAATTCACATTTTTCAGGAAGCATTGCCAAATCCTACATGGCTGGAGAGATTTTTTTTTTCCCCCTATTTTTTTTGAAACCGCATGTAGTACAGACCCTTTTCCAACTAAATCAGTAGAAATAAAACAGACCTTGCCACAGATGACATTCCTTTCTCAAGGGCAGTTGGTTGTATTACTTGTGGTGTTGCATCACTTACTAGAACTACTTCTGAAAACAAATTTAAAAGGTATTTCAAAAAACAAAGGAATGATGTTGGGGAGAAGTCATCTGAGAAGTAGTTCTAATGAAATACTAAGTGAATTTTAGATGACTCTTCTTGGTTGGTAATTCAACATCATCCAACAATAGTGTTGCTCTCCATCACTCCACAGTACAATATTTCAAAACATCACACGCTGCATGGATACAGAGGTGATCGCTGAGCTGCTCTGCAACAAACAAGTTCAGCTTCTGCCAGTTAGGAAGGGATTGATTTAATCAGCCTCTTCTTGAATGCAGCTGCTCCTGCAACCCACATCAACCCTACTCTAGTTTAAAATGGGGAATTCACTTTTCTTTCAAGTATTTAATGATTAAAAAAAAAACACACACAAATGTTACTGTCTGGGACCATTTCTGTCAACTGCCTGCACAAAGCAAGAATTTAGCAATTCAAAATTACTACCACTAAGTGGTGTCTGAGGACAGCAAATCACTCCCAGCACAGCCTGTCCATACCTGTGTTAATCTCTTTGGTTTGTTTTTTTCCCCCATATCCACCATCTGAATGGCTTGCATTTGAAGTGTGCCCCAGGCCTGGCACTGCTACCAGGTGACAAAAACACCTTGTTGCGTTCTGCCTGAGCCCCTTGTGTGGGCTCTTGCAGTTGGAAAAGGGGGGTAGGAAGAGTAAGAGTGGCATGCAAATCAGCTGAAAATTAAGTTACAAAATAGAGTTACAGTTTTAGCTTCTCTTAGGTGGGGAGCAGTCCAATGTCACCACTGCCAACAAATCTGGACACTGTATGAGGGTGACAGATGCTGCTTTGGCTTGAGCACTTAAGATTGAGTACGGTCAGTTTCTTCAGAAGGTATAGAGGGCATGTACTGCTTTGGCTTAGAAGTGAACAGTGACAAACCTGCACTTACATTACTAGCTGACCTCTGCTAAAAATTTCAATAGTGTGATGATTTTTTTTTTTTTTAAGTACAAAGGAGGAATTTTCAGTGGCATGTTTTGCTTTTGTTTGCATTTGTAACCAAGAAGAACCTGCTTGTTGCTGGTATACTATCAACTGCTCTGCAACACCCTAATCAATGAATGCAAGAATATCCATGCTCATCACACAGCACAGATAGAAGACAGGCTGGGAAGAAATATATTAAAAAAATAATCAGAATTTATTTTCTCAGGGTTCTGTTTTTCTAGCAAGTGATAAGATGATATATATTGCAGGTTTTTGGGTTTTTATCTGGCTGAGGTTTTCGGGTGTAGGGTGCACTCCTTAAATTTGACAGTTGTTTAAAGTTGTGTCTGAAGTTCACCTCAGCAGTAGCTTTCAAAGATACTTTGAAGAAAAAAAAAAAAGGAGAAACAAAACAAAAAGTGAGAGAAATCAGCTTAAAACAAAAAATTTCATGAGGGGGCTGCAGAGTGTAACTGCTCCTTATGCACTGCATAGGAGCTAGAAGAATTTGCTGTGGATTCTTTAAAACCTGTGTGCCAATTAGTTCAGTTTTACTTTGTTTCTGTGGTATTGAAGAATTCTTCAAACATCTGTGGTTTGATTGACTTCATAAACTTGTATTCTGTAAAGTGCCATAGACTTTTTAAAAAAATTGTAGCATATTTAAAAATCTCTCTCTCTCTCTCTATATATATATATACACAAACTTGTGTGAGATGTGCAATACCAGGAATGGGTTTTATTGTGGGGGTTTTTTCCCCCTCTAAGATTTTGCTTTTAATCAAGATATTTGAAAAGGGACTTCCCAGGGAAGAAGTGGCTGGAGTTACGGTGGTATGGACAAACTAAAGCAGAGTAATGCAACACAATCACTGATTTTTGAAGATTAATACAACAGCAGTAACAGCAGCTTAAAGATTTAACAGAAATCTCTTCTAGATTGATTTGAAATACTCAGATCTATGTAACACAGGCAATTCAAATGTGAAGCTGTGTCCATCTCTGGCAAGCTGCAATCTAAAAGCTGAAAAGGCTTAGCAAGGTTTTTTTTTAATGTGTTTTATTTCTAATGTGGCACTACAGAAATGATTGCTACTGAGCTATTTCTGGGTTGTCTGTATCACCGTTGTCTCTGTTTCACTCAATAAATTCTCTGAATTCTGAGATTATTTTTTTCCTCCAGCCAAATAATTTCCATTTCGCATCATTGTCCCCTGTCAGAGTATCTCCTGTCCGAGTGGTAAATGGGGAGGAGCTCAAGTCTTCCTTGAAGGCAGTGGGCACTGGTGCCTGCATTAAGGGAAAGACAGAGTCCAGCAAAAGCAGAACATGGCAGCAATGTAGACACCACAGCTGTTTTGTGTAGGAAGATCAGCTGTGTCAATCCAGCTAGACTAGATTTTGAGCCATGGTTTATTTGTGGTACTATTTTCCTGTTTTTGAGTCACCACTATGTACATTTGTTAGCATGAATGATGTATCTGTTATTTTTAATCTAAATATCAATTAAAATGTGAGTTTTACAAACTTTAACAGAAGTCTGACTGCCTTAATTCAAATGTATTGGACAAGCTGAGCCACACCAAGGTAGCTTTGATAGCATTAAAAAAATTCCAGCTCACTGATGATGTGTTTCAGATGTCCATCTGACTAACAATTATTACTACTTACAGGTCAAAAAGCACCTGATCTGAAATTGTAGCTATATGTTATACAATACAGTTGCATCAAAGAGACTTTTAAGTGAATGTATGGCTGACAGATGTATTTCATTTTGCAACTAAAGCACTGCAGTTCCTCCTCATGAAAAAGGGTAGTGCAGGTTATAAAACAAACACTGTGTAACCACACAAGCTTTTTAAGTGGTGTTTGCCACAATGTGTCTTACCTTTCACCTGTGACTGCACAAACACTGGAGAGGTTACAGTACTGTTCTTTAAGCAGATTTATAACAGAACCAGGATCAAGGCTTTCAGTAGTTTAAAGAAAAGTCAGTATGTCACTTCTGCGCTCTTACAGTTTTTATGGCCCATTTCTATTAAATTTGCATATACTTGCATTTAGTTCTACATTTACTGCATTTGCACTTCTAACAGTTTCTAAACTTCTAGGAAGTAGCTCATGGTTAAAGCTTACAACATTTAGAAACAAACCTACAGTCCAGAAGAAGTTAGGGGACAGGTGCCACTCAACACACCACAATGGTAGTCATTTCTATGGATTTCAAAGCAGGTATTGATACAGCAATTATTCTACAAATACAAAATACTGCCAAAAGAAATTACAAACTACTGATTTGTATAGCTAAAAACATTGCCTCCCTTTTCCAGTAATGTTAATGGAGTTGGCAATTGGGAACACAGAGTTCAATTCTCTAATTGTGTGCATTATTACAGATTTCTGTGTTCTAGTAACTTCTCCAGCTAGGTTAAGAATGACAATGCAAAAAAAGAAAGCAAATGTATATTATTAATATCGGAAGGACAGGAATGTAAAGACATCGTATTCCTCCTGCGATTCACTGAAAGCTTGTTTTTAACTCGATGCCTTTTATTTGATTTGTAGTACCTTTGTATCAGTGAAATTCTGCAAGTGTAGGAACTGGTGTCCCTAACCAGCTTTAGGTATCACTCAGATGCAGTGGGATCAGTAATCTGGGCTAGCTGAGAAAGGTAAAGAAAAAATAATTAAATCACATTATTTTGGCCATTTCCAACTGCTCTCCTACCTTGGACAAAAATCACTGCCCCACTGCCCAATCCAGCCTATGCACTTTTTTCTCTAAAACATCAAAAATAAATGCATAGCAAAGACAACAGCCCTGCACTGCAGAACAGCAGCGGTGCTTTAGTATGCATGCAATTACTACAGCTCAGACAATGTACGATCATTTAATTAGGCATAAAGACAGTGAAATACACTCGTGGCACTGTCAGCTGGAACAGTGGCAGAGCAGCTGATGCCACAGAGGCACCAAGGGTCAGAGGCAGCTGTTTCCCAGACTGACCTGGGCATTCTGCCCAGCCTGCAAAGCAGAAAAGCTGGGCAGTCACAAGTAACTGCACTCCACCCCAGGCTGCTTTGTCCAGGCCGACATTAGCCCTGCTCCAAGCACACTGCCAATTACTAACACAACCTCCCACTTCATAATCAAAAATTGGCCTCTGAAATTTCCCATCTCACCAGCTGAAACTTTCCCTTCCTGAGCTGTGGGTACAGAGAAGTAAAACCTCATCTTCTCAGCACTTTGTACAGCAGCTCCTTTGTGTTGAAATTTCTCCTTCACTTCCAAGCGACATAACAGCAACATGTAGGAACACTCACTGAAGCAGGACTGTACATTTTACGCACACATAAATACATACATACGCACACACACCCCCACCCACATTACTTAGTCACATCCACTGCACCAAGTGTATTGAGAGAAGGTAAAACAAATTAATTAAAAGTAGTTTTATTTGGAGTATCGCTACCCATTCATCCAACAAAAAGCACATTTTAGATGAGCTGTATATGCTTCCATTAAATGACTGGACAAATTTTCTTTTTTTTTTTTTGAGAACAAAATGTACAGTAGTGTGACCCACAAGTTATACTTCCCGTAACACTTTTTTCTTTTTTCCCCCTCGCACAGCTGTGTGACATGGTATCTAGTTTAATCCTAGCATAAACTGGTATTCTGCTGCTGCAGTAAGGAATCTGCACGATGTCTTTTTCTAAGTCTTCTATCTCTACTGATGAGAGTAAAAGCTAGTTGCAGACATAAAATTGGTTTGTAGGGGGGGAAAAAAGTACAAACTAATTCTTACACATTTTAACACAACTGGTGAAACCTAACACGCATTTGCTTAGTTACCCAATCCACTGTGCCCTACTTCTGGTTCATAACCAGAATGCTCTATGTGCATAGCATTTCCTTGACAGAAATCTACCTTTCCAGAAGTATCAGAGTATCTTTAATCACAGTTCTGTTTTTTCTCTGTGTGTGCAAGCCTTCCCAACATCATGCCTACAACCTTCTTGAGGTAAACTATCCCTTAGCTAAGCAGAGGAATTCTCTTCCCAGAGCAGCACTTAAATTGTGCAGTAATTCTAACCATAAAGCATGACTGGATCATTCTGCACAACTGTGCTTACAAGAGAGTATAAAACCTGTTCCTTTAGTCTGTCTCCAGTGCCACCCTAGATCTGTAAATTACAAAGAAACAGATCAGGTTGAAGAATTTTACTACTACGTGATTCATGCACGCGCCAGTGTCTTCAGAAACTGTCTGCTATGACCCAAAATTATCCTGACTGTACCTCACAGCACTGTTCTCTGTATTGTGCATTAGCAAACATGACTACATCACAGAGGTCCAGATGAAGTTGTTTTGCCCTTCAAAGAAAACCCAGTAATAAATTCAGTACAGTACATAGTTGATATTATATGAAACAGACTGTGATGGTGCCTAAGAGAAAAAGAAAAAGAAAAAGAAAAAGCAAGACACAGCAGTGATACAGAAATGTCAATTCATAGGCAGAAATTAGGAAAATAAACACTACCAAAGCAATGCTTTTCAGCAACTTCATTTTACTTTCAATAGTGTTACAGGATTCACTCAGTATCTGCAGAATTCACTCAGTAACGACAGAACATGTTTAGATTTTAACCTTGTGAGTTTACAGCACAAGAACGTGGGCTGCAAGTGTCATTAACAGTTGACTAGCCTTAATTCTCAATATCCTAATGTATCTTTTTGATAGTGGACATTTTGCTTCCCCACATTTCAGCAGAATTACAGCATTTATATATATAATTATAAAAATCAGGTGAGACTTTTACATAGCTCTTCTCTCCTGCACATTATTCTGCCAGTTAGAAGAAAAATCCCCATATTGGTCAAAACTATACAGAGCAAAACAGGAAAAAAGTCTTCTTTTATTCTATGACACTGTGTTAGTACAATAAATATACAAAACTTCTGAACTACTCAGACATGCAACAAAGGGACAGAAGTAGTGCATTTGTACAGAACCATGACATTCACCAGGATGGCAGAGCCTTGTCAGTAATTTACAAAATATACAAACATCACTCAGATAAATAAAACCAACTCCTAAATTACACATCAATGACTAGTGACATTCCAGTGTTTAAACTTCATCCTTTGTACCCAATTTGCCACAATACTACAAAATTACAGCTTAAGTGGGCGCCATACTCTGCTGAATTAGTAAGAGACTGTAAAATCTAGTTTTCATTAGGTACAAAATATCCTAACAAATATCAGCCTTCTGTTGTCAAAACTAAACTCAAACTTCTCCTTCCCTTTTGGGCTGCGAGTGTCAGAGACTTATGGTTTAAAGAATTCACATGTAACTGAACCTTGAATTTCACTTCGGAGGTTTAAATGTGTACATTCAACCCACAACATTACAAATCAATGCTCCCTATACATAAAACATTAAATATGTTTTCTCAAAGAGTCTTTTGACGCTTGCGGGGGGGGGGTG